TCTGGGAATATGTCCGAAGGAACCCAGACCACTAATTCCAAAGAACATAAGCACCCCGGTTTTCATTGCAGCGTTATTTACAATTGCCAAGATTAGAAGCAGCCAAAGTGTCCAGTAGTACATCAGTGGATAAAACAACTATGGGACATTTACACAGTGGCATACTACTCGGCCATAAAAAAGAATAATATTTTACGCTTTGTGACAGTACGGATGGACCTGGAGAACACTATGCTAAGTGAAATAAGCTAGTCAGAGAGAGACAAATACTACATGATTTCACTCATATGTGGAATCTAATGAACAAAATTAACTAACAAGGAATATGCGGACAGATTCATAGATAGAGAGCAGAAAAGCTACTGTGGAGGGGATAGGGGGTGGAGGGATTGAGCAAAAGGGAAAAATTATTTGTGGACACGGACAACAGTGTGGTGATTGCTGGGGGGCAGTGGGTAGAAATGGACTAACTGGTAATGGAAAAAAGCTCAATAAAGATTTTAAAAAATCAGAAGCGTAAATAAATATTTCTGACAAACAGTAGTTCTTGACCTCCGAGCTCTATGAGTTCAGAATTTGTCAAGTAAATGTTTTAGCAGAGAGGCCCTTTTTCTTAGCATCTCCCTGTGCCCCTCACAGAGGCCATCATGACCGGTGAGATTTAAGCCATACCTGTCAGCGCATAGACAAGTCTGGGAGACTAAATTGGAGGGCATTAAATCCTAGTTCATCAGGCTCAGGCAGTGCCAACCCTTACTGATAAGGTGAGTTTGTTTTTCTGAACAGATACTAAAAGTCCAGGAATTCACAGAGACGGTTGTCTGGGAACTGTATATGTGTGACTATAGGGAAGTAAGACCATTTTGTTGCTGCAATTTGGCACTTGCTTTCTATACTCTATATGCTAAAAACTACCAAATGTTCTTCTGGATCTTAAACCCCTCTCTTCAGATCCATACTGTATTTCTGACTGCCCCTTACATATCCCTGTCTTGACCTGCAGGCATTCCTGACAAGTAGCAGGCCCAGAACGAAACTCATTGCCCTCAGCTCCCAAACTTGCTTTGTCACCTGCATTCTTGATTTCAGCTAATAACTTCTTGTTCCCTATAGAATGGCTCCTAAATGGTAAGAAATGCATTTTACATCATGACTCACAATGCGCACTCACATACGCACACATATAACCGAAACAGAAGTTTTATAAAACGCCATGTATCTTCACCATGTATGTTGCCCTCTGGTATTTTCTCTTTTGAAAAATGCTGATCTTACACTGAATGAAATTTATAATCCCTAATGGGTCATGGGATCTGTAATTTGGGAAAATCTGAAACAGATAAAGTATAGTTTCTTTGGATTTGATTCTGGCCCTAACCTCCCATCCTATAATTTCATCTACACCTTCACACTGTTACCCAGAAACACCATTCATTCATTCATTCATTTAGCCAACATTTACTGAGTGCATGGCACATGGTAGGCACTAGGGATCCAAAGACAAGCGTTATGATCTCCACTCAGCATCCCTTGGTCCAGTGAGACGGCAGACGTGTAAGCTAACAATTGTGAGGCAGCGGGTAGGTCTTACAAAAGTCTGCAAAGACCCCTCAGAGTTCACAGTGATCACTACATATAACTCGGACCGGAGAATCCAGGAAGTCTTTCAGAAAAAGGTGAACTGTGAGCTGAAGTTAGAATCAGAGCTAGGAGTTAACCCAGCCCATTAGGGGCAGGACATTCCAGAAGAGGAAACCAGTGAGAAGGTACAGGCGCATGAGCAGCATGGGTACTTGGAGAAATTATTTGGACATAATTTTTTCCTTTTAATCAGAATATTGTCGTGTCACTCCCACCCTTTCTTTACTTGGCCAACGTTAATGTTCTTTCTCCCACTGAACAGGCAATCCCTCCCATGTAGCTTTTCTCTCCGCCCCCAGGTAGACTCAAGCACTCCTCACCTTGTGTGCACCTCTCTCTCCCTCCGAGAGAACACTTACTGAGGACAGCTCATCGCGGCCTTCCCCTAACCTCACCTGCCCCACCAGAGCAGGAGCACCTCAAGGCAGAGCCCCAGGCCCTGCCCTCTGCCTTCTGGGACAAACACAGTAAATGTCAGCCCAGTGAAGAGATAAACCAATAAACGAACAGGGAGATGTGTAAGCCACAGCACAGGTTTATGGTGAAGTGCTTAAATGAATATGTAGAAGAGTTATTAGCATATCAAAGCATGTTGTTTTAAGATTAAACCAGGCATGCTCTGGCCAGCTGGCTCAGTTAGTTGGGGCATCCTGTACACCAAAAGGTTGGGGGTTCGATTCCCAATCAGGTTGCGGGTTTAATCCCCATCTGGGGCATGTATGAGAGGCAACCTGTTGATGTTTCTCTCTCACACTGATGTTTCTCTCTCTCTCTCTCTCTCTCTCTCTCTCTCTCTCTCTCTCTCGGCAATAAAAACATTTCCTTGGGTGAGGATTTGAAAAAAGGATCAAACTGGGCCTGAGATGCTCATTAACAGATGTGGTAACCACATTTTAGATGTTGGTGGCACACTGGATGCAACTTTTTTTGCACTACTTTTTTTGCAATAGAATGTTTTTGGCTTTTAGAGAATACCTCTTTTTTTTCTAACTTGCAAGTATTGTGGTAGTGGAATGTCTTTGTTGATTAATAAAAATGAAATTCTGACAAGAGAGACAACACACCCCCACTTTCTCTATTGCACAACTACCCTATCATCTCCAACCATATATTTTACCCAAATTGTCTTTCCCAAAATGGCTTTTATAAGAAGCAGAATTGACTTTTAATTCTTCTTTTCCTTTGCCCACTAGCTGTCCAGCTTGTATTTCCTGTGCTGATGGCCCAGGAGATGTAAGCAGAAGAATTTGAGGTCTGGAATCTCATCAGTCAATGCTATAATAACTCATTAAAAAGTCATATATTTTTTTCTTTGCAAATAAATTTTACGAGATGGCCATAATATTTGATAATCACTTTGAAACAGAACCCTGGATCTGGATGAGGACAGTGCCTATAAAAAAGTTTTGCTAATACAAACATTGTAGAAACACACGGTCAGGATAGCGATCGCACCTCTATTAGCAGTGAGAGAACGAGATTCGGGTTCTGGCGGCTGGACTTGTCATTGGTTATAAAACCTTCAAAGTGTCTGTTTCATGTTGATGGATTAGTTGTGATCAGGTTGTGATTTTGAGCTGAAAGTTCCTCTCTTTAGTTGCTAAAGTTTAATACCATTGAACCCCTTTGTCCTTCATTGCTGGAACTCAGTGTGAGCCCCACATGGAGCTTCCCTGATTGGTCTGCACACCTCATTGTCTCCCTTTCTTGAAATTGCAGTCAGAATTAGTGAAAAGAAGGAGGGGAATGCCTTTGCCAGAGACCTGTTGTCACACTTGTTCATGGCAGATGCCATGCCTGTGCCTCTTTTCCCGTCTTACGGCTCTCCTAGCCCTCACGCCTGTTTTCCTTCCCACTCCCACCCAGCCCATCAGTAGCGTGACCTTGTTTATGTAGATCAGCCTATTAATGTTAGTATTAATTAGTACTTGCAAAACTAACTGATCACAATTTTAAGAAAGATTGCATTATCAGATCCCCTGAACTCAGAGTCAGTGTTTCAATGAGGAGCACAATGTGTGTATTTGACCCCGACTCATCAGATGGGAAGCAGTGAGAGACATGTTCACTGTACATGTGCCATCCTTTGACTCGACATCCCTGTCCCCCTAGCAAATAAACGCATAAATAATCAGAGCTCTCTATTTCCTTATTGCCTGGAAGTACCAGCTGATCCTCAGAGGTGAAGTGAATATGCCTTACTTCCTCCCACAAAACCTGCTTGTTTTGCAGGTTTCTGCTTCTGGCTTTATCTCTTGTCCTTTCTAGGCTCCAACTATTCATGTTGGTTCACGATAGTTGGAGGTAGAACACATGGCACTGGCTTCCCTGACCAGGAATCACTGTGGAAAAAGTAGGCAGATGAGTTTCTCCCACGTGACCAGCACCTCCCTCACCTGACCCCATTTTCTATGGGTGCTTTGAATAATACCTAACAGGGACATGGTACTTGCTGCATGCCAGATAGTGTTCTCACCTCCAGTTTACGAAAGAGGAAGCTGAAGCTCCGTGCAGTTATTTCTTGCCCAAGGTCCCATAACAAGTAAGTAGGGGTGCAAGACAGATGCCAGGGACTGGGCTCTGAACCATTCAACCCCACTGTTCTCATTCGGCGACTTCCTGTGGGCATTGAGTGTAACAGTCATAGATGGTGGAGTTGGAAATTCAAATGGAATGTGCCCAGTTATATGTAAGCTGGAATTGCCCTTTAATCCCTTGAACCAGATCGAGCACTGTGGTGATAGAAAAGCACATTGGGAAAGAAGGTAGAAGTGTGGACAAAGAAAGGAAAACGCCTAGAGAGAACAGTATTTTGGGACGAGGAACCTATAAATCCGTAATTAAAGATGGTAACTGTAATGAGCATGTGGCAGTAAAGAATGTGAGCCTCCCAAGCTGTCTGTCCTGCTTCTTGGAAACTTAACGATGCTCAGACGGAGGATGTGACATGAGAAACGACAGAATCCTTAGAACTGTTCAACGACGAGACATCCGATACTGGCGTGAAGGACAAAAGCTCATGAAAGAATCATGAGGGACAGGGACATACCTTATTCAGTTCCATGACGACAAGCTTATCATTTGGGTCCTAAACTTACTTATTAAGTTTGGAGTTGATAAAATGCAGCTGATATAACTTGTCTTACCTCATTTGGCTGCATTTGTTAAAGCACAGACATTCATCTTGGGTGGCTTGTTAGCCGGGTTTGTTTTTTCCTGAAATAAAACTCCTGGCACATGATAATGGAAAAAAAAAATTCAGAGTTTCATCATATGCAGTGTACTGTTTTCTACACTGGAGATTTTCGAGTGCTTTGGAAATAATAAGTCTGTTTCCACAATTTCCTGCTCTCCACCAGGTTCTTGGAACGCCAAATGAGGACACTTGGCCTGGAGTTCATTCTTTACCACATTTTAAGCCAGGTATGTTTCGTTAATTACAAATGACTACATGCTTCCTATATGCGAAGGCTGAAGATATAAATGTTACCCCTCAAGCTAATATATTACCTTGAAAAATTCTGGTTACTTTTGCCATTGTGTATTCCACCTGCTAGTGGACTTGTCCTTTTATTTTCACAAATTATTTGTCTGTAAAGATAAAAATAAGTGACATCCCTCATGATGAGAGATTTTCATCCTGAGGGAAGTACTTCATTTGATTTGACAGGCTAATCTTGAAGTAAGCCTTTATTTTATCATCATTTAGACTAGCATCCATGTCTATAAAAACAAAATTTAAATTGGGGTGTGACAATGTGTGACTTCTTGTTCTAGTACTAAGAAAAGTATTAAATTGTAAAAAAGGAAAACATCGCATTTTGATTTCTTTTTTAAAAACTAGAAATTTTATGGTCGGCTTATTTGAGTTTAAACATGTGAAATGTTCTGAATATCCTATAGTACAGCTTTCAGTCTTTTTTAATGTAAAATATTTAAACACCCAAACCAGAAAATCTGAGAGAAAAATGCAGAATTTATAAAAAATAAGCTGTCACTTTTTTTCTCACCAGTAGGTGGCAGTCAAGAAACTTTCAATTTTAATAATTAAACTAAACAGAAGAATCTAAGACTTGGTCTGTTTAACTCTTAGAGGAGGGATGAAAGGTTTCAAATTGGACATTTAATAAAAATCAGTAGAATGAATTATTGTAAAATGATTCGCTTTTTAAAAAAATGTTCTTGGTTACAAAACATGCATTATAAAATGCAGACCCACCATAAAATTACTGAAAGGGATTTTATGGGAGAACTAATAGTTCATTATTTTATGAGGGAAAAGAGCTATGAATAATTACTGTTATGGGAGCCAAGTATATTCGTTTTCTCCTCTTCCCTTCTTTTGGGGGACCATCAGGAATAAATTATCAATCCCAAAGAATGACTGAGTTAGGAAACTATTTTTATTCTTAATATTTTTCTTCTGAAAGTATAGTGTACTAAGAACTCTTTTATTTTCTTCAGTGCCCCAAGGACTCTTTGTACTTTCACTAAATTTTTTAAATAACTTCTATGTTCTAAAAGACTATAGCAACTTAACGATTTAGATGGATTTTTCCCTTCTTTTTTTTTAAACCAAGCAAGAATCATCCTCTAACTGCTCCAGTTGTCCCTCGGGAGTCTGAGTGAGAACAAAGCTCTTTATAAATATTCCAAATGTGGCTCTTAAAGGTTAGCTACTGCATGTTAGTATCTAAAATATTAAGCCCTAAAGAAATGAAAAAAAAAAAAAAAGCGGGGGGCCTGGCCATGTCGTGTAGTTGGTTAGAGCATCGTCCTAATATGCCAAGGTCGTGGGTTCGATCTCCAGTCAGGGCACATACAAGAAGCAACCAATGAATGCATAAATAAGAGGAACAACAAATCAGTGTTTCTCTTTCTCTCTCCCCCTCCCCTTCTCTCTTTCACTTTCTCTTTCCAAAATCAATAGATAAAAACATTGAAAAAAGTAATAAGACAAAAGAGAACATGAGAAAAATTTAAATCAGTAAAGATATCTGCTGAAAGGAACAATTGAGGTAGCCATTTGTTCTGCCAAGTTTCTGCACTAGAAAACATCGAGTAATTTGTTTATTTTGGTGCAAATACAATTTATCTTCATTAGCAACGTGCAAAAGCATTTATTAAATGTGTCCTGGGAAGTAATATGATGTAGTGGAAAATAAGCTAACAGATTGGGAACTTCATGAGATCAGAGACTGTGCATAATACATATTTTGGTGTTCAACAAATGTTTATTGTCCTGAATTATATTGATTAAAACAGACATCAGTTCTGTGATTCTTCTGATAGACATACATAAATATGTGTTTAAATTATTAATGTTATGGATAAGTGTCACTACAAATGCCTAATACATAATTGGTAATGGGGATTCAGAAGAATGACATGTTTAGATGGTGTAAGGCATGGGAGCTGACAGACAAGAAAAGACCTTATGGGCAAAGCCTGGGGCTTGAGGATGAGAACAGATGTGGTGAATGCTTCCTGAGTTGGCTTGAGAGACATCAAGGGAAGACAGGCTAATAGACTGAGGCAAAGGAAGCCAATCTATGAGTCCTTTCATGCAGCCCAGGAACTAGATCATCTGGGGGTTCTAGTCTCTGCCGCCTGGACCTCATACCCCAGAGGAAGAAGACGCACATTCCCAGAGGAGAAAGTATTAGTGGTAGGGTCCGTCTGTCCTACTGTCCTACCCTGACTCTCCACCTTCTTTTTTTAACCCCAAGGAGTGCCTTACAAAATCTGAGGGAAAACCAAAAGTCTGAGCCATGAGGGCATACTTTGTTTAATAGACTCTTTTTTGGAACAGTTTTGGTTCATAGCGAAATTAAGCGGAAGGTGCAGGGATTTCCCACACACCAGTGCCCCGCCACATGCACAGACAGCCTCCCCGTCATCGGCATCCCCACCAGAGTGGTATGTTTGTCACACTGATGGGCCTTCATGGACATGTCAATGTCACCCAAAGTCCATGGTTTACATTAAGATGCATTGTTGGTGTTGTATATTCTATGGGTTTGGGCAAATGTAAAATGACATGTATCCACCATTACCGTATCACACAGAGTAGTTTCCCTGCCCTGAAAATCCTCCATGCTCCACCTTGGTATCCCTCCCTCCCCCTACCCCCTGACAGCCACTGATCTTTTTACTGTCTCCATACTTTTGCCCGTTCCAAACAGTCATACAATTAGAATCATACAGGATGTTGCCTATCCAGACTGGCTTCTTTCACTTAATAATATGCGTTTCAGTTTCCTTCATGTTTCCTCATGGCTTGATAGCTGATTTCTTCTTAAAGCTGAATATTCCATTGTCTGGATGTTCATGTGTTCATTCACCTACCGAAGGACAAGCTGATTGTTCCAAGTTTGGGCAGTTATAACTAAAGCTGCTATACGCATCCATGCACAGGTTTTTGTGTGGACGTAAGTTTTCCGTTCATTTGGGTAAATACCAAGGAGTGCGATTGATAGGTCAGGCATGTTTTGCTTAATTTCTGAGTAGGTAATAAATTTAAGTAATTCAAGATATCAAACAATGTTAAAGGAAGTGTGGTGCAAAGCCTCCCATCTACCCACTTCCCCAGAATCACTGCCCCAACCACAGGCCCCACTTTATTAGTTCCTTATGTTTTTCTTTTTATGTAAGTGTAAGAAATTATAAGTATATATTTTTGTGTTTCTCATGTTAAACACAGTTCTCGGTCTTGCTGTTCTTGCTCAGGCATCGCGTGGGGCTTTTCACATCACTGCTAGAGGAGGCCAGTGAGGCTTCCCTCTGCCCTTACAGCCGCAGTGCTTCCTGCCGTGGGGATCTCACCTGCTCCCTGCTTACGGAGGTCGGGGTTGTTCCTAGTGTTTTGCTATTATGAATTACCGTAAGTAAGGTTAAAGAGTGAATGAGCATATACGGTTATAATTTTGAACACTTCTGGCAAGTTGTCCAAAGCGGTGGTACCAGTCGGCTCACTGGTGTTACCAGTGAGAGTGCTGGGTGGTGGAGAGGCCTGCGGAGGAGAACAGAGCGAGAAATGGGTTCAGGCAGTGCCAGGGAAGGGGTGATGTGCAGTTTTAAATTGTGGATGTGAGCAAGGAAGACCCTGTTGAAAAGATGACATTTGACCAAAGGGTATGAAAGAGTCATCAAGGTATTTGAGGGAAGAGCTTTGCCGACAGATCCAGTACAAAGGCCCTAAAGTGGGAAGAAAAGGGTAGAGAATGAAATCAGAGGCAACAGGGGCTGGGGCAGGTCATGTAGGGTCTTGAGGGCTACTAGGAGTCTTCGTCATTTATTCTGAATGAGATAGAAAGCTCTGGAAGGTTTTGACCAAGACAGTGCATGATCTGGGTGACGTTTTAGTAAGCTCACCGTGGCTCTTGTGCTGGAATGGGGGCAGGGCAGAGGCAGGAGACCAGTGAGGAGACTAGCCAGGAATGTAGGGCAGAGGTGAGGGGCTGTGCCATGGATTCAGCATCTACCTTCTCAACTTCTCTGCTTCAGCGTGGAACTTAACATGATTTCCCCCTGGAAAAGCATAGCAAAACTGGAGCAATATTGTAGGAATTGTTAAAATATTAAAAGAACAATTAGATAACAACTGTACTTTATTCATTAGTATTTAGCCTGTACATATCTTCTTCTGTTCTTACATTTATGGTAAATTCCTTAACCTCAGCTTATTCCCTCAGCAACCAGGCAGCTGGGACAGAGCACGGTTGCTTAAAACAAGTAAATAATGCACACGCGTGTGTGTAAGTGTATGTGCACTGCATATAATGAGCATGAACTTGAGAGCTGCTGCTTGTCCCTCGTTATTTTCACTTAAATTTCTCTTAAATGAAACGGGATATGGGTCTCTTCCATCCTTGAACCTGATTTCTTTTCCTTCACCTTCTGGGTGCTGCGGTTTATGGTCTCAAAAGTAGGGGTGTCCCCCACTCTCTCCTCCCTTCCTGCGCCCCTCTCCACTCTTGTACTGGAGCACTTCTTTCTGTCTCTGTCTTCAGGATGCTTGCTGTCACCAGTAGGCAGTAGGTTACACTGTGGTACTCTTAGCACCCAGTAATTGTGTCACCTGTGACTAGTCTCAGGCCAAGCCCCATTTTCTAACAGAAAGTAAAAGTCCATTTTTAAATTAAGACATTTTCCTTTCACTGTGTCATGGTTACTCATTAATGAGATGCTTTTACATAATGCTTTGTGCCTCAATTTCCTCCTGGAATAGTCAGGGTTGGCCCGTGGGAGTCATAGGGTTCCTTCCCGGCCTGCTTCGTCCATCACTACTTTATGCTGATAGAGGCAGCTTGGCTTCCATACCTCTGGGGAAGCGATGCCTGAAATTATTTTTATAAGACTGACTTGACATTAATTTTTTCCAAAACACATCTTTCCTACATGGAAAGTCAGAGGGCTTGTTG